ACTAGACGTCAGGAAATGCACTAGACGTCAGGAAACTCTTATCAGAATCCAATTTTCTGACGTCTAGAGCGGCCATTGCACTGCGCTAAACTCACACTGATTTTGGACACTATGATGAGCCCTGCAGCTGTCTCCTCGAATGAATAACTAATGGATCCCGCGTTTGCATGAAATTTTCGGTGTTTCGCATTCTTAATTCACACAACCCTTGATTTTGTCATCAATCTGAACTTCGCAAATTAATAGTAATTTTTGGCAGCAGTGGGGACTGGAACATTCGGCTCGATGAGATGTCAGTGTATGCTTCAGCCCTGATGGTTCCGCTGCGCACTCCAGGTGTATTTTGCATAAGTGTGAAAACTTGTGCACAATACAATTCATGAATTTGTTAGCCGAACACGAGGTTTTCAGCAATATTCTTCATTGGCCCGAAACGTTGGCTAACAAAAACTACTTGTGCACAATACAACTCATAAATTTGGTAGCGAAACACGACGTTTTCAGCAATGTTCATCATTGGCCCCAAACGGTGACCGATAAAAAATACTACTGAAAACCTTGCGTCCGGCTAACAAATTTATGAAATGTAGTAAGCACCATGCCAATGTTTAAAGACGACCGGACTTGAGAACCAATTCGAACTGTGCGCAATACTTGCTGGTTTCACCTTTACTTCGGCATATTATCTCACAATTTAGGACAATTTATGACAAGACAACTTACGGCACAACCTTTGCCTCAGGCACCTTGAGTATGAGGGCGCCAATGTATTAGGTATGTGAAAAAGTTTCCGCCCTTTTTTAAAGCAAAATTGAGTCTTTCCTGAAAAAGAAACAAAGCAGATACATCAATCAAAGTACTGGCCATCGTTGGCTACAACCTTTCCCCATCTTTCTGTGAAAATACGGACGTTGCAGCGGTAGAAATCCTCGTTCTCCGACTCGATCCTTTACTCCACCCATTTTTCGACATCTTGAAAAGATTGGAAGCGCTGCTCGGAAAGCATGTGGGACATCGACCGAAACAAATGGCAGTCTGACGGGGCACGGTCTGATGAAGAAGCCGCATAAGGTGGCACATCCCAGCGAAGTGCTTCAAGCGCTTCCTTGATGGCTTTTGTGACATTTGCCAAAAAGGCACTACTCCACATTGGGACCCCAAAATTTTCAAAAAAGAAGTTTGTCTTCGCCGAAACTTTGTACGGGAGGGGGGGGGGGGTTGTTTGAGGTGCTGAACACGAACATCATATCTATTTCGTACCCGTTTTTGTAGGATTACGGCAGGGTTATTGTGATAAATAATGCATACTTGGCTCAAATTCGACAAGATTATCGCTGTAAAATACAACGATGTTGGTACAAATCAAAACAAATGTGTACTGAATATTATTGATTTGCCAGTATAAGTAACTATTATAACTACTTATCGCTAAAGGGCGGAAACTTTTTCACATACCTAATATACTGTAGATGAGGTGATAGCCCCACCCGATTGTCTGCACCACCGACACACTGGTGCAATTGCTACGAGCTACTTATTTATCGCAGATCGAGCAATGAACAACTGTGTAGACAAAAGCAATCCATTGTCTCAAAATACAACCGTCATCCAGTCACCTTTGTAAGTCACTTCATCTCATGGTGCATCGGCTGGGAATCGAACCTGGGCCGCCCGCGTAGCAAGCGAGCAGTTTATCACTGAACCATCGTTGCTCTTATACCAAAATAGGGGGTTTTCCTCCAAATCTGTCGTCGTCCCTTCCTCGACGCTAGTTACTGTGGAACCAAGGAAGAATCTCAAGCTCTCAAACTCCAGAGATTCTGTGAAAATGTACCAGGTACGCTTAATCGATGGCTCCCTGGAAATCGATCTGTGGTTGATTTCGACGAAAACACTTTTGGAAATAGCCCCACATTGCAAAGCTGAGGTTCGAACGCAGCACAAAAGGCCGTCCAATGTGGTGATGTATGAGTATGCGCTCCCTAACCAACGGCCATGAGATTCGCGCAATGCCAAGATGAAACGCTCAAGCATCCGTACAAAAAAGATGATGAAAAGGTACACTCTGCTGGTGCTAAATTTGCCCAACATGATGAAGAAGCTGGCGGAGTGAAAAGAAGGCGAGGTTCTAACCGTGATGACTGTTCGATGCCTTTGGAAATTCTAAAACGTGGGAAAAACCCTAAATGGGAAGCAGCAACAAGCTCAGCAGTGGTCAAAATTTCGATGCCTCAGGCTCACTCCGCCCAAAACATCAACCTTATCTGAAAACCATACACCACCACCAAATTGGGGTCAAAAACAGCCACTGTGGATACTTTTCAAAGAATTTCATCATGTCATTCCATAATAATAAATTAGCGAATTTACGCTCGGCTTACATTCCACCTACCTTTCATGCTGTGCAACTCGGCCTCACTCGCGATGATGCTGAATGTATATGAATCGTATGGTAAAGACTCCGTTACCCCAAAGAAATCTTGGGAAAACTGCAGGAAGTGCATCGGAAGCATGGACGTGTCAACGTTGTGTCTTTCGCAAATGAAAACAGGCGTAAAACAACTTCAATCCGAAGTCGATACCATCGAAAAAAATTTACGCCTACGAAAATATGAAGCTGTGCAGAAAAGAGTACAGCTCGAGATAGTGGAGCACAGAAGAATGTTTCTTCACGCGGTATAGGTTAACGATAATTGAATTCATATTGCGCAAATCAATTCGAGGCAAATTTCGTGACCTTGCGCATGATACAGCAGTTCTACAATGGCTAATATGGAACTCCATTAATCAAGAACAGCCAAGAATGAAAAAATGAACGCTATGCCATACACACGTAGCAGGGTGGGTTCTGAACGACAGTCTCCACTCAGTAAGTCTGTGGTCATACAAGAAAGTAATGGCGAAGTCAACCCACGTGCGCTCCCCAAACGCTACGGACAAAAACGCGCAATCAGCTCACAAGCACACGGGAGTGAGGTAGTGACAAGAATGAAAAATAAGTTACTATTGAGTCGCTCTTGCACATAAACAATCAACCCATAATGGGGCGAAAATCATACACGAAAGCTGATGAAATGCTTTTTATACAATGGCCACCACTCTGCACAGACTCGGTTCTGCCCGCTCTCTTAGCTCCTGCACTACTCGACGCCTTTATGACCAGAACAATATAACTCTGTGCCAAAAAGGACGCTGATCCAACGAATATCAAGAGAAGATATAAATATGATACTAGCGCCCCCTCGGGCGCTAGAAAGTGGGGGTGAGGCAGCCACTCGAGGTATGTGTAAAAGCTTCACACATTCGAAATGCATCAGAAATTAACAGATAAGCAAGACTAATAATCATCTGAGCTCAAATATAAGATCGTTCTTATCAATTGCGTATATTCTACCAGTCTGGCCGCCACGCCAATGTCGGTCTTCCAGTCTTCTCGTGATCCTAGCTTTGCTTGCAAATTCCTAATCATGCGAAGCTATTTCTAAAGCTATTTTCTGATGCAATGATACCACCTCCTCTTTTTCGTCACATTTCTTACATGCCTATAAACCCGTTATGATCAGTGACTCTCAACACTCTACGGCAGTATCTTCCAGATGGCTTTAGTACCTGTGAACAATTCAATGTAACCAATGGAGTGAGAATATTCGCTTGAAATGATTCAAGCTTCACGTTATTTAGTCTCATTGATGAGCTTCTGCTTTCTTATAATGATAGGAAGTAGAGGTGGTCGACTGAGAAACGAATGAGCACGTAGCGCACCCTTACTTTAACGGCATATGTGCAGAGCGGAGCCTTTATCCATCCACAGACCCGTATGCTAACGTGTCCCCCACTATTGGGCCACGGTGAACACCCCCTCCATCTCTGGACCCGTATCGTGAGGTTTTCCCAACTATTGAGCCACGGCAGACTCGTTTTCCATCCGTCGACCCGTATCCTGGTGTTTTCTCCATCATTGGGCAACGGCGGACCCCTTTCCCATCCGTGGACCCGTATCGTAAAGTTTTCCCAATTACTGGGCCATGGCAGACCCTTTCTCCATCCGTACACCCCAGTGGCGGACGCAGAAAGTGGGCGGGAGGGG